TATATATATATATATATATATATATATATATATATTATGTATGTGTGTGTGTGTGTGTGTGTGTGTGTGTGTATGTGTGTGTGTATGTATATACGCCCCCCCCCCTTGTTAGACACCGTCACTATTGGGCGGACTATGACCGTCTGCTGTAGACCGCTGGTCGTGAGGCAAGAGGTGGTGCTTGCAACCACCCTCTCTCTCCTGTACGAGTCAGCCACGCCTGACCGCTGTGTACAGGTCAGCCTGACCCGTCACCGCTGTGTGCAGGTACTCACCCGTCGGCGTAAGGTCGGCCAGCGACTCGTCGTCCGTCGTCGTCATCTCGCCTGGCTTCTTCTTCTTCTTCTTCCGTATCTTCGGGGCGTTGTCGTACACCTTCATGTACGGCGCCAGCTTCTCGTTTCGGTACGCCAGCTCGCGAGGGTTGAAGCCATTCTGTAGGAACGCACGGAGACGGGGGACGTACGTCACTCACACGCGGCAACAACCAGACGAACGGACGGGGGTACGTACGACAGTGACATTGTTATAGTTACTGCCGTCATTGTTTTTGTTATAGTTAATGCCGCCATAGTTACCGTCGTTATAGTTAGCGTCGTTAGAGTTACCGTCGTCATAGTTACCGTCTTCATAGTTACCGTCTTCATAGTTACCTTCGTCCTAGTTACCGTCTTCATAGTTACCGTCGTCATAGTTACCGTCATCATAGTTACCGTCGTCATAGTTACCGTCGTCATAGTTACCGTCGTCATAGTTACCGTCGGCATAGTTACCGTCGTCATAGTTACCGTCGTCATAGTTACCGTCGTCATAGTTACCGTCGTCATAGTTACCGTCGTCATAGTTACCGTCGGCATAGTTACCGTCGGCATAGTTACCATCGTCATAGTTACCGTCGTCATAGTTACCGTCGTCATAGTTACCGTCGTCATACTTACCACGTTTTTCTTTGTGAGGCGCGCGCCGGCCTCGACGAGGAACTTAAAGCTCTCGTAGTGACCGTGATGTGCGGCGATGTGTGCCGCACTGTTCTTATGTTTGTCTGTGATGTCAATGACTGAGGCTGCCTCCTCATCCCGCAGCATCTCCTCCAGCACCTCGTACTCGTTCGCATCTGCGGCAAGCAACATGAGTTTTTTGTATAAAAAAAGTACGTAGTCCCAGAGGAGTATTCATAGCAATTTTAGTGCGCGTCTCACCATTTGAAAGATTCTCCTGAAATATTCGCTTAGTCTGCGAAACAATAATTAATTTACACAGCGGCGGGGGTCAGGCACGTGTGAGGCGGGGGTCAGGCACGTGTGAGGCGGGGGTCAGGCACA